TTTCAACCATTAAACTGGCCGACAAAAGAAAAGGGCATATTACCACCAAATAAAGTTTTAATTTCCTTTGAAAAATCATCCAGACGCCCTAATACCGGTCTTATGCCACATATCTGCAGGACACAAAGCTCCAACTGCAAGGCCATTTCAATTATCTGCAACAATAAGTAACAAAGGGTCCTGAATTTGAGGAGAAACCCTTGGTTTGTTCGCCTCACATAACTCTCTAACAATCGCAATAGCTTGATCCTGCAGCAAAAGAAAATAAGCTCAAAGTCTATTCCTCTCTCCATCGGCCTTCTACAATCACAATTAAATGGAACTGCTGACAAATGAAAAGCGACGTCAGCACAACTGCAATTTCTGGCCATATATAACTCCACATTATTCATTATGTATTTGAGTGGTATTTATTTATTATTTATTTTTGTTATACATTCTTTTGCATTCGATAACTGAATGAGAACATAACATGCCCGTAAATTTTACCATACCTGCAATCCGTGCAAGATTTCGGGCATCGGAAGCTCAGGAAAATGTGCAAGATCAACAAATCCAACCTCCTCAGCCCTTTTAACAGCACCCTCAGCTTGTAAGCTGAGAAACTTTAAAAGGAGACAAACAATTCTATATATTTGCACAGCAACAGTGTCAGAAAAGCATGTTTTTGGAAACAGATCTGTAGCTTTAGTTGCTTGACCATAGATGGTCAAAGCAGTTGAGAAAGGAGTGGTGTTCAGTTTTGACACGCAGCATTGTGGAGAAAGGGCAAACCATCCATTTTTACTGTTGATATACGAAGGTTTTGAGCAACTGTCAAATTCCTCTTTAAGAGTTGGCTGACATAAAAGTGTGGCACTCCTGTTTGATAAATCACCAAGGCGTTGAGTGCCCCTGCTAATAAAGGCCAAGAGATGGATACATCTCTCTCTAAGCTGTCTATCCGCTTCATTGATTGCCTTAGTCCATGAATTCCAATGTTTTGCTAATTCACACATGAGCATCAAAGTATGTTCTGTCTCCTTAAGATTAGCAAGAGACATCCATGACCTCTGTGGCCGAGGTCTTTTCTTGTCACGTTGATCTGAAGGGAGGTCTGGAGCATTTAGAGAACCAAAAATAAGATAAGCATTCTCCTGGAAAAAATAAGGTATTACGCTATCAACAATAGCTGGGCAAGAAGAACTGTCTTCCAAGGATTGAACCATAGCTGTGACCACAGCTAATCCGAGTCCCCAAATGTCTACAGGCATTTCAAACTTTTGGTGTAAGCCACCCACATTTTCGCTATGACTCCTTGAGGACGCCTCATCATCATTAGTAAACAACACTCTCAGAGATGACAAGAAACCAGCAGCATAAAGCATCTCAGCACCTCCTTTTACACGTGCAAGTGTCAAAAGAAACTTCAATATTATTGGGATGGAAGAGGACGTTTTATCTTGAAGTTTAGCATGAGATGTTGAAGCTGCAGATGACTCTTTATGACAGGTAACCAAGTCTCAGGCATCAAAAAATTCCTTAATATCAGGTCCATAACTGACAGAGACAGCATACAATGTTCAGAAGCAGCAACACATTTGCAAAGAATGGGAAGTAGCCCAACGATTGCAATTGAAATTTTAGAAAACCCCTCCCCGGACTTCTCATCTATCGTCCCACCCAAACGAGAACTGAGGCAGTTGGAATCTAGTACTAAAAGCAGCAATGTGAGTAATAGCTTCATTATCACACTGGCCTTAGAAGACAACAGCTGAAGTTCACTAAACAGTTTAAGACCTGAACCAGAACATTTGAGAACAAGCAGGGAAACACCAAAGGAGAGACTTTTGCAGACAGTTCTGGTCAACTGGAGAAGCAGCTCTGCTTGAGACGCAAGAAAATTGAGTGTATCTTCAGATACATCAAGAACGGGTGCTAACTTTTCAATTGTAGCGTGAAAAGATTGGCATATATTATCTATGCATGTGAAAATGATTTGATCAGGAATCTCCTCTCTCATAGATTTTCTCCCTAGTGCCTGCAAAATCATGAGAAAAATAATGTTGAACAGAGACCTCAAAACACCACAGGGTAAAGAGGTGCAAATTCATTGAAAATGATTTATGCAAACAACAAAAATTGCAGTTATTCTAGATATTCAAGGTAAGTGCATGGGCATGAAAACTAGAATCATTATAGCTTGGATACAATTGCACTCCTTACAAAATGTCACTTTGGACAGAAGTGCCCAAATTTTCCATTTCAAACTGGTACTGAGGACTTCTATCTATCACAGGTTGATCAATCCGGCTATTCCAAAGAGAAATTAAATTATCATCAGTACCATATATTCTAGCTACGACCTTGACATTTTAGTTGCAGTGCGATAGGAGAAGTTTCGAATCATTATGCATTTTTTTCCCTTGTTGATAACAAGATCCGAGTTTCCTGTATGCAAAAATTCATAGATTTATGCAGATGTAGAAACCAACTGCAGGAGCGAAACTACCAATCTCCTTGAGAGAGAAAATTTAACGCCCCAGGCATCCCAGCAAACCATTGACATTTCAATACTAATAGGTTACTACTTTTTGAGTTGAGACTTCCTAAAATCAGAAAGCACAATAAAAGGCAATTGAAGTTTCGAAATCTCACATCATCATGGTAGACAGTCAAGACAGAAATCAATGCTTTAAATGCGGAAAGCTTTGAACTTGAAGCCAACATAAATGAGTTTGCTTCCTGCAGCCAGTGCAACATGATTTCTGCAATCTCCTTAGATGCCTTCCACTCGGAACAATCCCACACGTCTAATCCTATATCAGCTCGCAAGCGTACAAGGTCAAATAAGTATAAATTCTTGGTAGTTGCACTAAGGTCACCATTGAGATTGTTTTGATAGGTTTCCAAAATATTTGATTCAACCAGATACTGAGACAACTCTTTAAATGGTCCCGTGCTGACTTTTCTACCCTCGAGCTCTCCTTGGAGATGATAATACAGATCACTGAGTATCAATTTCTTTAATTTCTTCCCTTCACTGTCATAATTTAAAATGAAAAAGGACAAAGCATGATTACTGAACGCTGCAAAGGAAAATACATCTTCTATGGGAAAATTCACCATAAGAATTATACTGTAGAGCAACAAAATATCACTATAGACTCAGACACAATATCTTGATTTCATTCAGAAAATAATTCTCAATATCCTCTTTAATTTATAGTATAAATGTACACTGAGTATCCATAAGTGGAAAAAACACATCCACTTATGTGCAAAACATAAAAGAATATATTGCACAGAATTAGCTAACACATCATTCTCAGCATGTAAATGATACAGGCAGCCTTTCCAGTCCTCCTTCACAAAAGCAGAAAAATTGTACACACTTAACCTGTAGCCACGCTGTGAATACTGGCAGAGTAATTCAGAAAAAGCAGGATGCATGCACAACTGCAAAAAAGAAACAAAACTACATATCAGCAATGAAAACTTTAGCTTAGAACAAATTTATGAACATGTAAATCAGAAAAATTATAACATTAAAGATTTTAACATTTTGATTCTTGAAACAGACTATATGAAAAGATTTTCCAGACACATAGAATGCATGATACCAAAGTAAAGAAGAACAATAGACTCTAAGAAACCAGAAAAGTTGAAAGTTGGACCTTTGTTAACATTGTATGAAACTTCTGCTGCAATGACACTGATAAACTTCCAGAATCACCAGCCACTAGTTTTTCCATCACGTGGACAGAGAATAAACTGATGGCAACCTAAAAATTTAAGCACACTTGTATACGTTATAAGATGAATATAAATGAGGAAAAAAGGAAAGAACTAATTTGATGCACAAACGTACAATACAGGATGAATATGAAGGGGGAAGGGAAAGAACTAATACAATGCACATGCATGATTGTCACATATGGTAGAGACTCAACTGCAAGAGCTCTACAAGTCTTCTCTACTTCACAGGCATGCCAATGAAAGAAGAGAATGGAACAGTATCAATGGTTCAAACTCATTATGTTTAAAAGCGTTACAGATAATCTGAGCATCAGTGCTATAAATTAACCTGAACATAAGGCAAAATAGAAATTAATTAAGACCATAAGCAAAAGGAAAACTCACTTTTGCACTATAATATATGTCATCATTATACCCAGAAGTATACGACTTCATTAGTTTCTCCAAAACAGAATCTTTGCACCAGGAAGACCAAATTTCCTTAACATCACAAAAAAGCGGGTGCCTTGGATTTTTCTGTTTTTGCACCATCTTGTTCGTTGCCCTGAGATCCAGTTGCATCCTTCACAAGTGATTCTGCATGCAACAACTTTTCTGCAAGAACAGCTCATATGACATGATTCCAAGTATTGCAGATTGACAAAGGTACGTGTTCGCTAGATTTTGAGCATCCTTCTCTGTCAGATTAACAGGTAGATGAATTGTGCTGCCAGCAACTCTTAAGATTGCATTGGACAAGTACTTCCAGAACTTCTCAGAGCTTCTCAGAGACTCCAGGATATTTAAGTACTGAGAAGCCCCTTGCCACAAGGCAACCATGAAGTTAAGCACACTCAGCAGCATGCGAGGGTGGCTGGAGATAAAGAGTATAACAACATATTTATATACAAATTCAAAAATGCCCTAACGGCAAATATGTATACATACAACCATATATATAGAGAGAGAGATTGTGCTCAGACACATTTGTGTAAAGGATCAGACAATGGAAATTAAAGGCCCAAGGTTGACTAAGCAGCCAAATGAAATTCTTCCCCAGAAAATAGTACCTCTGGATCAGATTATCTGCCCTCACAATATAATCCATAAGTGCATCTATCAGGCCTGAGTCCTTTGAACCCTTCGACTCTCCATCACCAGTAACAATTAACTGACCATCGTCCTTCTCCTCTGGATTAAATATAGCAATAAGAAATGCAGGCTGCATAAGAGAACTTCTAGTCAATTACTAAAAGCCAAACCGAGCGGAACCAGAAAAGTTACTTCTATCTACAGATTCCACTCCACCCCACCCCAACAGGGAAAATGGCATTTAAGGACCTCTAAGAATATTAATTACAATTAAGAACCTAAAATTTTGAAATTCCAAAAAGAACCACCATCCTCGGTTTAAAATTAAAAAGATTTTTAAGTTAACCTTTTTAGCATTGTCTTCCACATTTTCAGTACTCATATTTAGCCTTTTTAAATACTTAGTTTTCCAATTTTTTCCAGCAGTTATCTTAAATGTTTTCAACAATCATCTTCGATGTTTTCTGTACTGGAAAAAAAAAAAATCAAAGATAAATGTTGTAAACATGGAAGGAGAGTATTGAAAACGTTTGACTGCTAAAAAAAATTGAAAATCTGGGTACCGAAAATGTTAAGAATGAGTAATGAAAATATGGAAGATGAGTACTAAAAAAATTAACTCAAGAAATTTTAATTCCAACAAAGGATCATGGTCTTAGTTTCAAAATTCAACATCTTAAGGTTTAACTGTAATTTTTTAGAGGGTCCTTAAATGTCATTTTCCCCCTAAAAAGGGAAGATTTTCTGCTACAAAAATTTTAACTCAGTAGCTATAAAGAAGTTGTGGAGAGAAGTAGTTGGAATTCAGTCAAGTGCTAGTTAGAAATCCCTTAAAATGATGTTAGGTATATCAGCATATAGGGAGATAAACAGATATAACACCTATGATATGATGCTTAAAAGTGAACCCTCGTGAAAATGACGAGAATTTTGCATTATTATTATCATTTCCTTGGTCACCAAGTGTTTGACAATAGGTGGAGACTTAGCTTGGAGAACCGTTTTTGGTCAAATTACTTTGGAAGACTGTTTAATGCTTGGGAATGTTGACCAAAATTACTTTGGTAAAAATGAGTGTTTTTTCAGATTGTGTCAAGAAGAATTACTTTTGGACATGCAAGTACAAAAGTCAGAAAGGGATGACAGCTGATGGGCTTAAAAATCGTATGGATCCTCTGGTGTTCATGACAGTAAATTTTACTATTAAGTTGAGGATAGAAACACAATTCAGATTGAAACGTTGGAAGACAGAGCGGGAGTATATGAGCCCCACATCATACATCTATTGTGGCCAAGGTCTGTTGCTTCCAGAGCAGGAAGTTTGAATAGTTCAAGTTTCACTGAGATGCAATTTGAAAATCCTTGTAGACAAAGCTTTGTTGTGAGCAAAGGTTGAATCAAAAGACTTGCTTATGGCTTCCATTGAGTTCTCCATGGATCAACATACCATGTAAGAATCCAAGGGAAAGAATGACTGCATTATTTTATTACTTCACTCAATATGCAATAGAGGTGTCTACATATGTACAAGAGAACGGTAGATGATACCAAGAAAAAGCAAGCCATTACACAGAATATTCTTACATAATTTACTGACCGCTCTTACTGTTTTAGCTACTCTTAGAACTAGGAACTTCAGAGAATGCAAACTCCCGAAAATGACCCAACATGGCAAAATAGCATTATTCTCAACTCTACATTCTGCTAGAGTTAAGAAACTTTTACTTCTTGCTCAAGTATTCGGTTGAGACATCTGAGGAAGAGAATCGGTTCCAACATTAGGAAGCCAATTACACAAAAGTATGTTCACAATTAAATTTGACGTCCAAATGGAACTCTGAGGAGTTTATGCAAACAAGATTCAGCCTACACAAGAGAATCTGATATACATGTAGATTACAAGGAATAAATAATACAGTTTTGACATGTTTTTAGATTAACACTAGAAAATTTGGCACATTTCCTATAATTATAGAGAAGCACAAACATAGAGCGTCCATTTTGAAAGTTACTAAAGCAGCTTGCTTACAGCACCAAAAACCGAATATGATCAGTTAAAGTTAACTTGTAATTTCATAATATGAAAAGTGAAACACGATTCAGTCAATCATATTAAATCATTTCAAACCTGGTGATGTGCTGCAGAAGTCAATAGATCAACTGTTGCAATAAACAGATCTTCATTAGATGCAGACTGCTCCAACAATATGTAGCTCAGAGATAGTCTAAAATCCACGATCTAAGAACCATTTAAGTTATCAAAAATCATAGTTGAAAAACATCAGTTCGATGGCATTTACAATCTAAAATTAATCAATTTGAAAGGGTCAGACTAAGATCCACAAACCTGATTAGATTCTGGAGCAAAGCATGTGGTTCCATATGAAAATGGTTGAACGGAATCTGCTATAGAAAATAAGAATGAAATAAACCTAGCAGCACCAATTTGGATGGCCTATATAGACAACAGAACAGAACGTGGTTAAGTGACATAACAGTATATCAGGCATTTCCATGTATGCCTTCACCAAAAGGGCATATAAATTTACAGTTAATTTTTGAACTAGAGCAGAATCAACAATGATGTGCAGAACTCAGTATAAGGCACGCCAAAGTACATGTTTATGAAGCAAATGCACAAGCACACATACAACAAGTCAACAACGCCATGTAGAAAAAGAGATATGACATACCAGGCGTCAACAAGAAAAATTAGTAAATTATCTAGCATATGGAACTAATTAGTTTCTTTCACAATAAACACATGGCACAAGTCATAACTGCAAAGTAGACGAGGTCTCTGCAGACTGGTAGAACACACACACAAAAGGGAGGTGTTAGTTACTGTTAAATAACTACACATCAGTACCGCAGCATGTCCATAATCGAGATAAGAGGCACATAAAAAATCATGAAAATGTTCTCATACTCCCAATTTGAGAAAGGGCAGAGTTCATACAGGATCTCGAAAGTATGAAATCAAGGATATAACAGCAGCAACAATGGGGACAGAATTGGTTGTACATGATAGCACTGCCTGGTGAAAAACAGAAATGGTGGATGATGCCTCCTGGAATACACAGAATGTCTATCAGTATTTCCTTTATACGACTTACCAGTGCAGATAACAATGACAACTATGGATCACAATCAAAACTAAAAAGAGCAGTTAACAAATGAGACAAACAATAGTCAAGCACAATACTGCTTTAGTTCACAGCACTGAATTTTTGTAATCTCATGGAGACCTAAGCAAGCATGGGGACCCATCCTCAAAAACCAGCTTGTAAGGTGGAAGAACTATGCTGTTTAAGTAGAAAAATGTAATTACAGCTACTTAATGTGGGACTCCATCATAGCACCACCACCCTAAAAGAACTGACAGCCTCAACTATACTCTACGGTGCGGACTCCAGTTAACTGGCTGCAAACTCCACATTAAGCTTTTTCGGAGGAGGTTGATCCAGCTTGATACCTATAGATGGAGACCAAAGCAACAATGGGAATTCACCATTGAAACTGGCTTGTAGGAGGACAAAGCCATGCCACATAAGTACCACAAGAATTACTTGTGGCTACTAATGCAGGACCATCATAATCACAGGTAACTAAGACCATCAGGAGAAAAAATATAAAATATACACTTCTACAGCAAATTGTACAATTCATTAGCTGTGAAGAGTGTGGCTTATTTTTCGAGACTATGCAATATACAAGGAAACCTATCCAATTCCTCCTCATAAATCTAACATTCAACATTAAAAAGACCTGTGATTTTCCTCTTTACCTCGGAAAATTTGGTCAGCATGACAAGAAGAACATCTAATACAGAACTTATTGCAAATTGTAACCCTTCAATCTCCACTGGATCAAAGAGGCGGCTTGCATGCAATTTCTGTTCAACAAAAGTGCTTTTGTCAATAAGGTCAAGGAATAGGGACATTGTAGCAAGTATCAGGTAACAAGGAAAACAAAAATAATTCGACGTGTCACCTCCAAGGCATTCGTTGTAGTGCAAGCAATTTGGAACAGCGTCTTGTGAATGGATGAATCAGAGAACAACACATCATGAATTATCTCACCTATTTTTCCATGGCGAGCCATCAATATGTTGCATTTTTCATCAATTCAAGCACCTGTTATAATATCCAAAGTAAAAAGTAGTCATAACGGCAGCTTAGGAAACCTCCATCACAATTTTTCCCAGAATCACGTCACACCCGCTTGTAATTTGGGGGATTAAATATCAAGGAAAATTCCAAAAAGACTTTGGGTAAGAATAATTCTAATGACGAAAATGTCAACTACAACCACAGAAAAGAGTCATTAATCATGCCAAGAAAAAATCAACCACTTGTAGTTCACCATTTTCATCATGGTAAGTACACTTATCAAAATAACATTCTCCAGAGAAAAAATTAGCAACAGCAAAAGCACTATAGATTTGATTCAATGTACCACAATCTTCAAAAGCCCAACTCCTTACAGGAGTCGAAGATAACAAGATACAAGCATATGAAAACAAGAGATCTTTCTGATCAACATATATGCCGATAGAAAACCTGTATATTTGGAATCATCTTATCTAAACACGACTTTACTTTGAAATGAGCATTGGATATAAAGCTGAATTTTTATTATTTTAGCTCTTCCCCATATCTTAGCTGGTTTGTTTAGGCTGTTTTTATTTGACTTTTAGGTATTAAATTCCAAGAAGAAAGAAGCCACTAAAATCCAATTTTAACTGAAACTATCCCGTCTCTCATCAAAGGTGAGGTGAAGAACCTTACAACAAAGTGAGGTGAGGAAGAGAAATAATAATAGATTGCACCTTGCAATAAAGAAGGGTGAACAAGGCCTCCGCCTTGCAAAAGAGGAGACAGAAGAAGGCCTGCACCTAACTACAAAGTGACTTAAGGAAGCCAAGAACTGTGCTAGCTGCTAAGAGGGGTGATAGCCAAAAAAGGCAGACGTTGCACCATGCAACAAATTAATCACTGAAAATTAAGAAGAAAGAATTATGGATCCATAACAAAGTAACCAAGAAGAATTAGGGACCAAAGTTAAGAAAACAAGGAATTTTTTTAAAAACGGAAAAAACACTAAATGGCAAGAAATACGAAAAAATAGCAATGATAGCTTCATGGAAAAGTGGAGATAATGTTTTCTAAACATTATATTACTTTTTCAGAAGCCTTAGTTATTAATTAGAATTTTACATTTTTAGCAGTTATCTCTATCTGAGTCAGTTTGTTGAGGCCATTTTCCCCTTGGCTTTTGAGTAGTTCAGGGCCTAAGTGGGGCGTTTTAGCAGCCTATTACATATGCATGCCAATAGTCAAACTAATCAATGACAAAGTCAATTCTGAATCATTATCAGTCATCTAGGAGGTCAACTAAAGATTAACTAAGAATCAGAAATTGTGACTTCTAGTAGATGCAAGAAATACCTTCAATGTCACTTTCCATCGCACATGCTTCATCTTGTATTTCCAGGATTCATGATTAACCAGAACATACTGCAAAGAGAAAATAATTAACGCCAGGAGACAATCATTCTCCACCCCAGTTTCTACCAGCTGAATGGTAAAGTCCAGAACTGCAAGATTTCGATCACCAAGAATATAGAGAAAACATCAGAACGCTCAACATAAATGACTAGAAATATAGGAAACAAAGCAAAATCACTGGAAATCTAGGTGGAAAAAATTATGCTCATTTACATGTAGTTCAGCCTTCAGAAGAAAATGCCAAAGCAAAGCAAGAAAGCGAGACAATGTACAATCAGAAATGGATATACAACTAAATAAGAACGTATCAATCAAAGAATGATAAACTGCACTAGCTGTACCTGATATTGCCAACGGGCAGTCATCACTGTTTTGTTCACAGTCAATTAAAAGCATCTTAGCTAGTTTGCCAGAAAGCAGCCATGAACCACTGGAAAGGATATAATAATTAGATGTTATTTGACAATATATAAAATGAGCCACAATAGTAATAAGCCACGATGACACTACATGTCCAGAGTCCAACCCAAAGACAGGACACAGGAAATTCAGGGATGAGGGATTTTAGAAATTCATGAATTATAAGATGGAAGGGAACTCCACCTATGTTGTATAGCCGGTCCCAAGCTCGGATAAAGGAGGAGGGTTGTGTTAGGCCCTCGACAGCCAACGTAAAAACCCGTCGAATCTCATGAACATGGATCAACGAAGTAATTATGCTAATGCTAGGTCGTTGCCCAGATGTGACGCGCTGTATGGCTCGAGTACAGTGAGAAATGAGCTAGAGCCGCTGCATCGTCGCCCGGATGTAGTGTTAAATGAGCAAGGGCTACCGCACTCTCTTGGACGGAGGCGGCTAAAGAAGTTAGTTCATGAGACTGAGATTAGATTTGGCACTTGGAATATTGGGACGTTAAATGAGAAATCTATGGAAGTAGCAGGAGTTATGAGGGACAGAAGGATTAATATCTTATGCCTCCAAGAAACCAAATGGACTGGAGAAGCTGCCAAGGAACTTGGAGAGTATAAACTTTGGTACACAGGAAAGGTGAGCACAAGGAATGGGGTTGGTATCATCGTTGATGGGACATGGAAAAAAAACGTGGTAGAGGTTAAAAGGTTTGAGGACAGAATAATATCGTTAAGAATAATTGTTGGAAAGGATACTATCAATATCATTAGTGCCTATGCACCTCAGGTTGGAGCAGAGACACACCTTAAAGATAAGTTTTGGAAAGATATGGAGGGCTTGGTTCAAAGCATACCACTCGAAGAAAAAAATTTTATCGGTAGGGACCTTAATGGACATGTTGGTAAAGAAGCAGGACAATTCAGCGGGGCCCATGGTGGTTTTGGTTTTGGGGAGCTTAACAGTGGAGGACAATCTATTCTCGATTTTTCTCTTGCATACGATCTTAAGATTGTCAACATTTGTTTTAAGAAGCGAGAGGAGCATTTAATCACGTACAAAAGTGGTGTCTCAAAATCACAGATTGATTTCTTTTTGGTTAAGAATCTGAACAGAAGATTGTGTACTAATTGCAAAGTGATTCCAGGAGACGGGGTGAGTGCCCAACATAGAGTACTTATCCTTGATGTATGTTTAAGAGTACCAGGCAAAAGTACCATCAAATGGCAAAACCCAGGATTAAGTGGTGGCAGTTAAAAAGAGAGAAGCGGGAGTTATTCAAAAGGACTCTTTTGAAGGAAGGGAATTGGGAGTTGCAGGGAAATGCAAACATGATGTGGGAAGAGATAGCTACAAGGGTTCGTTTGGTAGCTAAAGCAATTTTGGGAGAATCCAAAGGTCCTGGTCAAAGAGATAAGGAGACTTGGTGGTGGAATAAGAGTGTGCAAGAGAAAGTCAAACAGAAAAAAGATTGTTTTAAGGCCATACACTTGTGCAATAGTGTAGAGAACCAAGAAAAGTATCAGTTGGCTAAAAAAGAGACAAAGAGAGCAGTGAGCGAAGCACGTACTAAAGCTTATGAAGGGTTTTATCAGGAGTTAGGAACAAAGACGGGAGAAAGAAATATTTACAAGATCGCGAAGCAAAGGGAGAGGAAAAAGAGAGATCTGGATCAAGTTAAGTGTATAAAGGATGAAGATGGTAAAATGTTAGTTACTGATGGTGATATTAAGGACAGATGGGAGGCTTACTTTTACAAGTTGTTTAATGAGGGAGCAATTATGCGACTCAGGACTTGCAGGACTTGCTAATTAACGAAGATGATCGGAATTTGGCTTTCTACCGCAGGATACGTATCGGAGAGGTTAAGGCGGCTCTCAAGAAAATGGACAATGGAAAAGCCGTTGGGCCTGATGGTATCCCTATTGAAGTTTGAAATGTTTGGGCGATGAGGGGAGGTATGGCTAACCAAGCTTTTTAATGAAATTCTATACGCTCTAAAAATATGCCGGATGAGTGGAGGAAAAGCATTTTAGTTCCTATTTACAAGAATAAAGGAGACATTCAAAACTGTGCAAGCTACAGGGGGATAAAACTTATGAGTCATACAATGAAGTTGTGGGAAAAAGTGATGGAATATAGATTGAGGTTGGAGACTTCTATTTCGGAAAACCAATTTGGATTTATGCCAGGGAGATCCACATCGGAAGCAATCTATTTACTAAGGGGGTTAATGGAGAGATATAGAAGTAAAAGAAGAGATTTACATATGGTTTTTATTGACCTGGAAAAGGCTTATGATCGTGTGCCAAGAGAAGTATTGTGGAAGGCTTTGGAAAAGAAAGGTGTACGGGTTGCGTATATCAAAGTCATACAAGATATGTATGAGGCGGTAACTACCAGTGTAAGGACGCCTGGGGGGGAGACAAAGGACTTTCCTATTAAGATTGGCCTACATCAGGGATCCTCTCTGAGTCCGTACTTGTTCAACATTGTTCTGGATGTTCTAACTAAACCTGTTCAAGAAAGAATCCCTAAGTCCATGCTCTTCGCGGATGATATAGTTCTTATGGCGGAATCAAAAGAAGAGATTAACACTAGTTTGGAGTTATGGAGAAGGACTTTGGAGTCGAAAGGTTTCCGTTTGAGCAGGAACAAAACAGAATATATGCATTGTGATTTTGGAGGGAGGCAAGGTAATAGGGATTTGGAGGTGAGGATGGGAGAGCAAATTATTCCTCAAGTATCAAAGTTTAAATACCTAGGATCCATTATACAGGAGGATGGGGAAATTGATGGAGACATTTCTCATAGAATACAAGCTGGCTGGTTAAAGTGGAGGAAAGCTACCGGAGTTATTTGCGATAAGAAGGTACCTGAGAAACTTAAAGGAAAATTTTATCGGACTGCTATAAGACCAGCTATGATGTATGGTAGTGAATGTTGGGCAATAAAGGGAAAACAAGAGCACAAAGTCGGAGTAGCAGAAATGAGGATGTTGAGATGGATGTGTGGTCATACAAGAAAAGATAGGATTCGAAATGAAAAGATCAGGACAAGAGTCGGTGTGGCACCTATCCAAGAGAAAATGGTTGAAAATCGCTTAAGATGGTTTGGACATGTGCAGAGAAGGCCTTTGGAGGCCCCGGTGAGGAGGGTGGATCAAACAAGATGGAGTCCCATAAAAAGAGACAGGGGAAGACCGAGAAGAACGTTGAATGAGGTCATTGAACGAGACCTCCTAATCAACAACATATCTAAGGATTGGGTTGTTGACAGAGCACGATAGCGTCGTGTGATTCATGTAGCCGACCCCACCTAGTGGGATAAGGCTTGTTTGTTTGTTTGTATAAGATGGAGGGAATTAAGTAGCTCAGATTAAGTTTCTGTCATTTGGAAAACCCATTGCTTGGATACCTAAACTTTACAAAGTAATTCCTTTCTTTTTGTACTTTTCATAGCTGTATGGTGCCAAGGATTAATCCAGGGCAAAGGCCCAGGGTTTAGAGCCCAGATCTGGTTTCAGCTCCAGGTTTCAGGACAAGTTTGGAGCCAAGCATTTGGTCGTTGCAGGTTTGGCCAATAGTAAGGAGTTGAAAAAATATAAATAAAATACCACCTAACGTGAAACATTTGAATTCTTTGTTTTTGACATAAAATTTCCATGATAAATTACTTCAAAAATCTAAAATTGTTTTATTAATCATCCAAGAAGGAAAAAAAGCAGCTTTTGTTTGAGTGTCTGAAATGCTCTAAAAAAAAAATCTCTCTTAGATTACTTCATCCAAATACATGGTAAAAGAAAATGTCAATTCTTTCTTTCACAGCAGATAACGAGTAAAATGTGTGAGCATGCAATTTCAGAGCAGTCTCACGTAAATACCATACCTTGACAAAGCATTATTCCCTCTACTGAAAACAGTTGTCTGCAAAGCCATATCAAATATATTTGCATTTAGAGCAATTGCCACGACGGTAGAGGGAGAACTGGATAGAAAGGAAATGAAAAAAGTTAGCATTTCCTGTTTCCCCAAAACCAATGGAAGGTCCAAAAACAATTATAAATCTAGAAGCCCCAAGGAGTAGAACATCAAAGAACTCATTAAAACATCACATTTTTTTCTTAATTTAGATAGATCAACCAAATAAATAACATAATGTTGCGTATACAAAAGTAACTATGTAAAATCTACGGAAACAAGTTAATCACCAAATTAACATCTTTCCCAAAATCTTGATGCCCTTTGACATCAGTGCAGCACCATAGGAATTCAGAGATTGCTTTTTGACGAGATTGCAAATAATCTCAATCACCCTATCAAGACGCAGATAAAAAAAACTCAGATATCAAATAGGCAAGGGAAATCAACAAAAGGAATTTAATAAAGAACAAACAATGTGTAGCAGACAAATCTTACCAGACATTCTTTTCCTGCTCGCTCATCAAGCTGACAGCATGAAAATGTGCAGAGCAGCTCAGACTCATCAACTCAAAACAGACAGCCTATCACAGAAAGAGAATCTGTAAGGAAAAAAGGGACAAATCCTAATCCCAACATATCAGCAGTCAAGAACCCATTTATTTAATACAACTTTGAGAGCAGCTTCCCAAATCATACTTTGTTGTCTAAGCAATCCAAAGTTGCAACAGGTTCCATAACAGAGCAAAAATATCATACCACATTACAACAAAAAGCAAAACTTTCTTACCCCGTGCCAAATACACAAAAGAAAGTTTCACCTGGATAAGTGTAGTGAATAGCACGTAGCTTACAGGAAAAAGCATTACACCATGAAGCACCAAGGACAAAGATATCATAAATAACTAAATAATAAATGAAAGAAAAACTTGTCAAAGGGCATTCTACAAGCATCCTCACAACCTCAAATAGAAGGACCCCTAGAAAAACACCCTAAATTCAGTCCAAGACTAGAAGTTTTACTCTTCAACTTGGATTTCCATGAATTATATAAGTACTTTCAAATCAAGAGGAGAGAAATTGTATTCCGAACCAAAAAAAAAAACACAAGAAGGGAGGAAGGAAATAACAAAACGATATATTAGGCCACTCAAAGCACACTAACATTAATCAAAGATGTTAAATATGTGCAGTGAAATGGAAAAACATGGATATTGATTCGACAAAGTTCAACATTACAACGTAAATAAATCAGCTATTCAACATGGAATGCCGGGGGGGGGGGGAAGAACTTAGTTAACGGTATGCTGCAAATTTGCAAATTACCCGCAAGTGTCATTATTAGACTGACAAAAAGCACCATAAGCTCAGCAACGATAAGCAGATTCAAGAAGGTTTAATATTGAAGCTTATGAATCAAATTTCTTCACGAAGAAATAATATAATTGCCAGAATAATTGATACTCTGATCTCATTATTACAAATACCACCTTAAAATCACATGATGCAATCATAGAAATGTACTATCGTAAACCATTAGTAGGCACCCATGGAACAGTTGCTTGGACGATGGCAACAATTATCACTATTGGTGGTATTACATTAAATAACTGTGGCAACAATTATCACTGTTGGTAGTAGTACACTAAATAAGGAGCAACCGTGGACACAAATGACAATTAAAACTTACAGTGTTAAAGGAAACCAATCTACTGAGCAGATCAAGAGTCAAAAGGACCTCCTCCTTGTCATTCAAATGTACCTCTTGGGCTAAACGTAGGAGTAAGAGAAACACTCCTGATGTTGCATGCTACAAAACAGATTATTGTATCAATATTTAAAAAAAAAAAAAAAAAACAGAGAGAGAGAGAGAGAGAGCAAGAAAGGAGGCAGGATAACTGAGTTGAGATCAATTTGATGAGACCAAAAAATATTCATAATAAAAACCGTATAAAGAAACCAGATTTAGACCTAATCCTCCTTATTTGTATCTTTCTTCTCTCTTTATCTCACACAGAGGAGAGCAGTTATAAACACTGATTCCCAGGTAATTGCTAAATGAGTGAATCAACATGTATTACTTGTTACCACTAAAGAAAAAACATATCTTCTCAAAAACGAATCTTGCAAAAACAAGAACAATTGAATGCCATCAAGTGTCAGATCAAACAACTGTTACCCTTGAATTTGTAGAGAAATTCCTTTCAAAGAACACTGTGTGGTTGGGTTGGGTAAACAGGTCATGTTCAATTGAGGGTTAAATCAAAAAGACACCCATAGAAGTCTAAAGTAAATTCTAATTTGAATTTTTTTTGTTCCTTAACATATAAAATGAAAGCTTATTTTCAGAGAAAATACATCAAACAGTTCCTTTATTTGAATGAAAGGAGATTCCAGTATAAAGGAATTGTGGCAATGGGCTGCCATGGAATCATTTGACCAGTAGAGTCAAAAAAGAAAAGATTTATATTTGATATAGATGGCAGAGATTTAGGGATAATGGAAGAGAACTAAAATGAAGATTTCATCCCATAATATCTGAGAGTGGAGATCAGCTGAAAAAATAAATGAGATCACAGCTAGGTTCATTAAATGAACAGCAGCTAGTAGCAATGATGAGCAATACTAAAGCCATAATTACCAACAACCTTCCTACAAGGAATTTACAGACCCAGCCACCATGTCTGTGGCTGCAAGTACAACTTTAGGTGACCGCAAGCATTATACAAGGCAGGAAGTATACAGAAATACTAGGCAGACAAGCAAATAAATAAATAAATAAAAATCCACTTATAACTGACTGATTTTCATCAACAAAAAAAAAACACCTAGGGAAATTTATGTATAGTCAAAAGAAAGGAACATCACAACAAGATTAAGAGACACACCTCCCATCGTACAAGGGCGGTATTCCCTCCAATTACTTTCAAGATATGTCCACGAGTTCCAGCAGGAATAAAAAAGCCTTCAATTCCAGGAACTTGCACTGCTTGTTGTGCCTCAACTATGTGAGAGACATCTGCCACTGACTCATTACTAATCTCAAACAAGGATGACACACCAATAGACCTATCTAGGAAGTTATACCTGTTGAATAAAAGAATTCTTAAGACACAAGCAGGAATTACGAACTAGGTTAAAGAAAAGAGTTTTCTCTCCACCCCAAATGCATCGTTAGGTAGTACGTCCAGCTAATATTCAAGAAAATAAACCCGCACAGCTTTCACTTGATAGCATACAGTGGCATGATCAACAAGCAAAACAGAGTCTTAGGATATGAAAAGGCATTCTAAAAAACAGTTCTGTTGGACCCATAATATAATCAGCCAGGAGACATTGTGGGCTTTTGTCAGGTGTGAGGTGTCAGAGTGTGTTGTGTGTGAGAGCGCACACATTGCAGTTGAAGGGGTCATGAGGAGGTTAGGCATTCAGTGAGTGACATATAGGAGAGTTTAGCCTCTGGAACAGCTAGAGCATCAGTGTGAGTGTTCTGTATTTTAGGCTTATTTTCTGTATTTTCATCTGCTTCAACCTATACAATATGTCACCTCAATTGGGCAAATTACAGATGCTTCAACAAACAGATCATAAGAGGGGGAAAAAAAAAATCATATAATGGATCAGTTCACATTACTCCAGTACATGAGATAACAGAAAAGCACAAAAATTAATTACTTACACACATTCTGCGGGCCACATGCCCTCACAAAGGGAAGACAAGAGTTGCACAAGTTCCACTGTCTGGAAAGGGAACTCATTCCCTAGGTTGCAAAGAAGACAACGAATTGGACCATCAATAAAGCTTTCCTTGTCCCAAAACTGAATACATAGTGATTCCTGCAAGTTAAAAAGCACAGCTGTACAATCAATGAATGATTGCAAATAGTGACAATGATACTAAAGCAATGAATGACCTGCAGGACAATAATTAAACATGCAAACCTCTCCTCTGTAAATCTTGCAAAGAATATCCAGTATCAAAATGGGGTCGCTGTCCTCTGCCTGCTCCTTCGTTGAAGTAGACATATGAGAATGCCATTAATAAACATAATGAATTATAAATTTCAAACATCTTACCTGAATGTTGACCTCATAAGATGCAATAAATGCAGATAATAATGTTCTCAAAACACTACGATATCCTGAAACAGGACCCTGGGTAGAAGAGAAAAATCAGTTATTGCATCCAGTTTCACTAGCAAAGCTCATAATACAAACAGAGAATTCACACGCTATGCTATCAATATTGTACAAGTGTAGACCTGAGAACGTAAAGTATACTTTCTTTAGTCATTTAAGTATAAAGCCCAATCTATTTGAAAGTTTCAATGGCAAAACTCATAATACAAACAGAGAATTTACACGCTATGCTATCAATATTGTACAACCGTACACCTGAGAGCAAAAAGTATACTCTCTTCAGTCATTTAACTATTTAAGTATAAAGCCCAATCTATTTTAAAGCTTAATGCTTCTGATTGAAACAAGAGAAATTAGTCAAGGTTTAATAGAAGTTTGGTAGACGCTAGGATAAAACTACAGATGGGCCTTCAATTGGAAGGCTTAAGCTTTTGTGCAAATGTGGTATTTGACATCATGGCATGACATTGGACCCTTTATCACCATGTGATTAAGAGTTCAAAGCCTGAAGGTCCCATTCTAGATGATTAAATGAAATTTTGGCACCAAAAATTGAGATTGTTCTTCATCGATCCTACAAGCCCAAAGGGCCTTAATGTGAGGTGCGTAGGCTATATATTAAAACAAAACTATTCATGACCAAGCTAACAAACTTAAGCTTTTGCGCCAAAATGATTCCCAAAGAAATCCATCCACAATAGCTATTGATGCAACATGAGAATGACTCACATCGTAATCCTTCAGTATGTCACACTCAAGAATTTCAAGACAGTAACTAAAGGATGCAGCCTCAAATGCTTGTCGAACATAACCAACATGATCAATCTCCTGGAAGCAAAGGAAAACAAGGATCAGCTATGTACTATAAACAAATTCACAAGTAAAGAACAATTTAACTTAGTCACTGGACCACCTACCATGAGGTCATTGTTTTCATCTTTTCCTGGAAGTGTCAATAGCAGATAAAGAAATGCTGCCCACGCTAGTATTAAGGGGCTGGCTTCTTTCATTTCAAAAGCATTGAAAGTAGAAATTAATGCATCCATCTCTTGGACATCAATCAGTGAAAAAGTAGACGCACCTTTCCTAAGAAAAAACATACAAATTTTGCAACACTTAACAACATATTAACAAAAGTACAATAACATTGCAAATTAAGAGCAGCCCCAACGTAACCAACACTAACACAAGACACATAATAGACATAAAACATAAAACACAAATCTTATAACATCTAAGTGGGACTGCCTCGCCTCTTCCTAGAATAAACTAGTAAAGGCCGCTAGTTCCTATCAAGTTCCGATGAAGATAACTCTAACCAGAGATTAAGATCACCCAAGTCAGAATCATTTAGAACTAGGAGTTAAACTCTATATACTGATAAGATTACAGTCAATATCCCTTTGGCTTGACCAACTGTCTCACAATGCCTTCCTTTTGTAACTTCAAAACTTTGATTATAATGTAAATAGAAGCTAGGCTATACCTGTAAGGTGTTTCATCATGAACCATCTGAAGAAGATTTTCCAAATCCAGAGTTTCTATCAGGATAAGTAGCAGTTGAATTTTGGCATGATAAGACAGTTGCCAGGCTTCTGATGTTATTGCGAGCTTTCTTAAGTTATAGTGACCAGAAATGATTCCCTGGATCCATGATATTTTTTGAGCAAGGATTAGATCTACCAAAATATCACCAAAAAGCAACAGCATGAGTATAAAAATATGTACCTTGTACATGTTACATAATTTCTTCCACTTTTCACCACTACAGGCACAAAATGAGTCATAATACGAAAGGAACAGAATGTCCAGAACTAAGCTGTCTTCAATTAGAGTCTCCTCGGCCCACAGAGTGAAAAGATCAACATCCTTCCAAGCATTTCACAATTGATATATTTTAAGAGATTAAGAAATAAAACTTACAGGCGAACAGAACATTCATGACATACAGAAACCAAAGAGAATATTATGTGGAGTAAGACACTCTTACATAGGCCCATAGCACACTTATAGCAACAAGAATCAGGTATAAATAATTCATATATTTATGTAGTTTTAAAATAATACATCCAGGTGAAAGAGTGATCCTCGTGTATTATGCAAAAGCTATTCTTCATACAATCATGCAGAATTCAAGAGCAATTTGCACTTATGTCACCTCAGAGTTGTTGTAAAAGGAGGTATAGTTATTCAGGAACTAAGGAATTGTAAACAGTATGTATAACTAACTCATATGAAGCTAAGCTCAGAGTTATGAAGCTCTCAAACTTTAAATGGTGGTTTAACTCATTCGTTAGTATGGATATAGGCACAAGAGCTGCCATAAGGAAAGCTATGCATTGGATCAACTCAATCTCTCCTCTCTTCTTGCAGGAACCACACTGCTTACAGATTCACTGTTTTGAAGGAGTTTTATCCAAATCTCAGACTTCTCAGTTGCCAGTGTAGCAATGTCATTAAGATTGGTATTTTTCACCTTAGCAGGAACCTTCTTGATATTTTCATTTCTACTTCAAATCTAGGCCATAAATTTTCAAAAAATTCTGTAATTGACCTCCTGCGTGTAAACTTCAGTTTCAAATCAATAAACTGACTAATCAAAAGAAGAAAAAAACTCAGTTATAGCAGTAATAAACATCGTGTAGAGTTGGCACTTGAATAAAGATTTTTTTTTTTTTGGGGGTAAACTTGCCAGAAATTCAAACATACCATTTGCTCTGGATAACTAAAAAGCAAAAGATCCTGAAACAAAGATATTAATTTGCTTTCCAGTCCATCATGAAACAACTTTTTAGCCTCCTCTCTAATAACATGTTCTTTAGAGCCTGGTCCGATATATACTGCAGAACATCATATACAGTATCAGAATTGAAAGCGAACAGATAGAAAAAGGAATTTGTTATCAAACCATACATCAACAGAATGTGTGCTTGCATGCGTGCATGCGTGTGTGAAAAAGGAAGACCTGACAGAGCAAGCAGTGAGAAAATACACTTACTAGCATGCATGAGAATCCACCTGATGCATTTCAGCAAGCACTGTCTCTCCGTATAATATTGAATCACTATCTTCACAAAAAGAAGGGAAAAGAAATTTATAGCACGAAATAAACAAACAAATTGGAATTGCGCATGATATGAACAATCTAAAAGTCATCAGGTGACTTTGTTAGGGTGATCAGAATTAAAATATAGCGGGAGGATTGAGATACTGAGCCACTAACCACGTGAAGAAATTCTTGAGCCATGGAATCAACAGCAACATTGTTATTTTTTATTGACCTTTCGGCAATAATGTACGATTGAACTTCATCTAATTGCTGAAAGCATAACGAAAATTTCCATAAAAAGCAGTCAATGAAGATATCAGCAGAATTCCCTTCATAATCAATACTAATTCAATGCAACTGGGTGACACCAGGCATACAGAGGAAAGAAACCAAACACTATCCATTCAGCAGCACAATAAGAAAAACTTCAGTTTTTATTCTTCTCAATTTAAACGTTTCACTCACACGAAATAACCTCCCCTCCCTGCCTCAAAGTAGAAAAGATAATTATTAATGTGATCGCGAAGCACTCACCAAGCAGGAGCTGATTTTCAAAGCTTTATCTTTCAAATGTGTTTGTATAGTAAGTTGGTGAGATCCGATTTGCAGTTTCTTCGAATTCAGAGCTTCCTTTGATTTCTCATTTGGCGGCTTGAAGCGCGAAACTGCATCCACTAGCCAGGAATGGTTGTCCTTCAACTTTTTCACCTAAATAAACACCAAAATAATGCATGTGAATACACATTTACACGTACTGGTATACATATAGGGGGGAGAGGGGCAGAGGTGGTTGAAATTGTACCAAGTTTTGAGGGAGGTCTGAAGAGAGAGAGGAGTTCTCGAGCTCAGAAAGCAGCAAAGTGAAAGAATCCCACCAAAGAGAAGCATCGACAGACTTAGTATCCGCCATTGCAGGGAGGAGGGAAGAGGGAGAGCTTAAACCCTAGCTCAGAATGCAGGTGAAAGACTGAAAAGCTTTAATATTTGATTCTTCTCTTTTTCGCGCTTCCTATGCTTGCTTCGTCGCTCGGCAAGAATGACGAGGCAGAGTGACTCGGCCCCAACGCAGGCCGCTCAGTAAATCCTTCTGGTGGCTGGGATACTCGCCATCCTTGTTGAGGCATAAAATTTCCCCGACTAATCGTTAATAAAAACATTAAAAAAAATTAGTTAAATTAATTATTTGTAATAAATGAATTTGTCTTTCTTAATATACTATCTAATGAAATTATCTCTCAATAAAAAATCACAAACATGTAATTATTATAAGAGTTATTAGTTTATAAAAAATTATAAATTTATGAGATAAAATGAACTGTAATCTCATCGTTAGAACTAAAATAAACTCTTTATAATAATAAATGAAAAAAGGAAATGACGATGAGCACGACAATAATGTGGTACTACTATTAAAATTGTCTAGTTTTAAAATTTAAAGTCAAGAAAATCGAGTGAAATTATATTTGTATTGTGGAAGAGAAAATTGTCTAGATTCATTACACACTTAATTTATAATTAACTAGAAGTGTAAATGTTTCAAGACCTATTTGAGATAATGTTCAAAAGTATTTATAAGCATATTTCACATAAGTCGAGACAATACTCCTCTCATATATTTATCTTGTATTTTGTAAATTATGATTGAAAAGCTACTTAGAAGCTATTTCAAACGAGGCCTCATACAGCTTAAAAAGCAATATGTGATTGGCAACGTGGTTAAGTACTAATTAAGATGGTAATAAGGTGTAATTCAGTTAGTATAGTAATACAATGAGTTATCAAAGCACGTGGTCAAAATCCTAGCTCAATACAGACAATTCATTTTCTTCCTCAATTTGGTCCAAATTTTTCATACCAATCTTAAGGAGTGTTTAGAAACCATTAAAAGCACTTTTAAAATATAATATTACATGAGTTGAGATAAAATTTTTCTCACGTACTTACTTCATATGCTATAAAATCACTTTTAAAATTATACTTTTATTTCCACCCAAATACCACCCAAACACACGACACTCACCCTTCTCCCGGTCACATAGGGATATCAATCCCCTAACCTTCTCAATAACAGGGATGGGCTAATGTCATATGAGCCAAGGCTCAATAGCTAGAGGTAAAGATAAGAGTCAATTCAACCTTCTTAATAAGTATAAAAACTGAGATTATAAAAAAAAGACATGAAATAAATCATAAAAATTAATGACAGAATAAGATTCTGATCAATGACTGGGTCATAGGGATTTAAACAAATAGGAGTACACTATATTCGCTGGCAGTGTGACTCTCTTGCATTTTTTATATTTATTACTTGATTATGCAATGTTAAGAGAAAATACATTACTTTATTGATTAAATAACATCGAGGGGTATGGCATGAATAAAAATCAAAGTTTTTGACCAAAAAAATAACAATAAAAAAAAGACTGGTCAGCACTAATATTTTGAAAATAATGTCAATGTCAATGTCAATAAATGTGTAACGGTATTTTTAAGAAAATGTATTACTACTTCTGGTCCTAAATATAAAAGTTAGTTGCCTAATTTGAGTATATTAAGGAAATGTTAAGTTAGCTATTTGTAAAAAATAGGTGTTATCTTTCTTAAAATATCATTGCTAATCAAGTTTATTAGATAGAATTATCATTATTAAAAAGACTATCTCGGAAAAAAAATTAAATAAATAGGAGAGGCAAAGTAGATTAGGGTCTTATATTTATGACAAAAATAAAAGTCAAACGAGATTTTATATTAAGGACTGATAGTACTACTAATATTTAAGAATCATCGATAGACATGCCTCAAATTTTATGCAAAACCTGAAAAAAAATGAATAATAGCAACTTAGCAAGTGAATTATGTAATTTTTAGCCTAGGATGAATCATTCCAAGAATAAAAAGGTTTTTACTAACAGAGTCTTTATATTAACAGTGAGATTTAAGCCAATATCTCATGTGGATGTAGTTCAACTTCTTATCAACCAGACTAAGGGTGTGTTTGGATAGAAACCAAACCATGGTTTCAGAAGTGCTTTTACGGATTACGAAGTAAATATGTGGAGGAGATTATCTCGTTTTGCGGAAAAGTGCTTCTGAAACCACGGTTTGGGGATACCCAAACAGGCCCTAACATTTGTCAGCGTTTATATTCTCTATTTTTTTATTATATGGTTTGCATCAACCAAAAAGAAGAAGTCTAAAAGTAATCAATTCCGTTACTTGCCCGAGGCATCCATTCACCAGCACTTCAATTCAACTGAACTAGTTAACTTCGTCTAATTGCGCAATTAGTCTTTTGTGGTCCCCCTCTGTTTTTACAGAGTAAACTATTCTTTTCTGTCATGAACTTAAATAAAAGCTCAATAATTAGAGGTTCATATAATGGGATATACTTCTAAAGCAGAGCCAGGGATAACATGGACATGCAGAGTAATAGTGTACTGCTGACCAAAAACAAAGACATAAAGGAGTAATAAATTAATGGGAATTACATTCAGAACATGAAGATCTCAATCTTTTTCTCCACTATTATTAGCATCATCATTCTGCATTCATATAAGCAAGCACAGATACAGACAGAAAAAGTCCCTGCATGTAACCAACAATAACCACCCACACATTAACCAATAATAAAAGCTTCTTCAAATAGCAACATTGCTTCCGTTTTTTTTCTCTACAGTCACTCCTGACGTTCCTATCCACTTTCTCTATACCCTTGTAGGCTTTATTGCTGCAACAATATTCATAGATCTCCAATGATCCGGAAAGCAAAAGGCAGAAAGAAACCATGCACGTGAATCGGTTGCTCCTTCTAGTTTGAGAAATTCCCTCCCAATGGATGATTGCACAATAAGTTAACAAAATTAACTGATAACTTTTATTAACTTATTGCACTATGTGGCTTCTGAGAACTTCTCCGTCCAGTTGTAAAACTATAGTAGTCTATGCATGAGGAGGAAAATGAGGCACCAGTGGCCATTTTCCAAACTTGGGGTGATGGAAGTGCTTTTGGGGGATCTTCGGAAGTGGAGGAAGCTTAGGAAAAGGCTTCTTCTTGAAAGGAGGCAACTTTGGGAATGGAGGAAGAGGCTTGAAAGAGGGATGCTTGTAAATTGGAATAGGTGGATAAGGAAGTGGCTTCTTGAAAATTGGGATTGGTGGTGGAAGAATCTTGGGAAAAGGATGAGGCTTGAAAAATGGTGGAATAGGAGGAAGTGGCTTCTTGAAAAACGGATGTGGCTTATGGAAGAATGGAACTGCAGGAGGACAAGGCTTCTTAAATACCGGCACAGGAGGAGGAAGAGGCTTCTTATATTCCGGTACTGGTGGAGGCTTTACATAGACAGGAACAGGAGGAGGAAGAGGCTTCTTATATTCTGGTACTGGTAGAGGTTTTACATATACAGGCACAGGAGGAGGAAGAGGCTTCTTATATACAGGCACAGGAGGAGGACAAGGCTTCTTGTATACTGGTACTGGTGGAGGCTCCTTAATTATTGGAGGAGGAAGAGGCTTTGTCAGAGGAGGAGGACGAGGCTTCTTGTATACTGGTACTGGTGGAGGCTCCTTAATTATAGGAGGAGGAAGAGGCTTTGGAACAGGAGGAGGACAGGGCTTCTTGTATACTGGTACTGGTGAAGGCTTGCTAATTATAGGAGGAGGAAGAGGTTTCTTGTAAATAGGAACTGAAGGAGGGACCGGTTTATAGACCGGGGTGGGAGGAGGGACCGGTTTCTTATAGAGTGGGATAGGAGGAGGGAGAGGCTTCTTGTAAATAGGAGGAAAGACCTTTGGAGGTAAAGGAGGGAAGACCTTAGGAGGTAGAGGAGGGAAGACCTTAGGAGGTAGAGGAGGGAAGACCTTTGGAGGTAGAGGTGGAAAAACTTTATGATGAGGGAAGGGGAATGGATGGCCAAAATGTTTAAAAGGTGGAAGCTTAGGGAGCAATGGATGGTGAGGCTTTGGAGGTAGAGGTGGTAGTTTAGGTAAAGGAGGGAAGTTGTTGAAAGGCCAAAAAAATGCTGAAGTGCAAGTTACTGATGAGAACTTGACTGTTTCATATGGCTTCAGGATTTGCTTGCCATTTTCAGAGTTAACCACAATTTTGGAGTTCTTCAAGCCATCACGAGCAGGACAAGGAGCAGATGAAGCACTGTGAAGCTGAGCATAGCACTCTTCTTTCAATTCACCATCTTTTAGTATCTCTGTTGGAAGTGATACTTTGAAGTTTCCCTTCTCATCAAGCTCACCGGCACCTTTTGTTTTGAAATGGCCATTCTGTGATTTGCAATCTATAGTCACACGCAGCCCTGCACAGCAATTTCACCCTCAAAACATTATTATATATCTATCTAATTGAAATTAATTAACTCTGTTTTTAGGACAGGTTATTGTTAAAGTAAACATTTCTCCCAATATATCTGTTTTATTTGTCCATCTGATTTGAGGTGTTGAATTCAGTGATTAAAAAAAAAAATCCTGTTTCAAAGTTCCATTCTTAAGATTAAATTAAATTAATTTGAGTGAAATGGCAGGGAGTGCCAATTTTCCGTAATCACAAATTTATTGTATATTAATGCAATTTCAGAGAAATAAAGGGAGGGGAGGAGGAGGGAGCATGAGTCTCAAGAGGAAAAATAAATCTCGTATATAATACTCCTCCAATCCTTAATATATGACCCAATTGTTGAGTTGGTTTTGGTCCTAAATATAAGACCCATTTCTCATATTTGTTAATTTTCTCTAAATTACCCCTATGGATACTCCTTCAACCATAATCAAGTAGAAAAGGAAGATGGGGTATTAAGAAAGATGATTATGGTATTTTAGGAAAAACGCGTCACATTTCTTATAATTAACTAACTTACCTAACTTCCTTAATCTAATCAAATTAGTTAAATGGGTTTTATATTAAGGACCGGAGGAGTACTATCTTTAGTCCTAAATATCAAATTTAGTTTGCAGTGCAAATTGCATAAAAAATTAGATATTATATTTATGACCAGTAATACAATGTCACTTTTTTGGTTATTCTCTTCAAGTACATGATTAT